GATTAAGAGGCCGAGGTAGAGGCAGATATCAACAAGGAAATAAATCCCATGTACAATGTTATAATTGCAATAAGTATGATCATTATAGTTATGAGTGTAGATATGCTCCTAAACAAGAAGAAAGAAATAACATAGCAGCAGCTGAAGAAGAAAAAATTGAAAATTTTCATGTATTCCTTACATATAAGGAAATGAAGAATTCAATAAAAATATTTGGTATCTTGATAATTGTGCGAGCAACCATATGTTTGGTCAAAAGGAACTGTTTGTGAAATTAGATGAAACATTCTATGGGCGAGTAACTTTCGGAGATGATTCACACGCAGAACTAAAAGAAAAAGGCGAAGTCAAGATTACTCAAAGAAATGGTGAAAAGAAATACATTTCAAATGTTTATTATGGACCTGCTTTGCAAAGCAATATCATCAGTCTTGGTCAACTCTTGGAAAAAGGATATGAAGTGGAGATGAAAAATCGCTCTCTTGCCATCAAAAATAAAGAAGGAGAATTGATAGTCGAAGTTGATATGACTAGAACTAGTCTCTTTACAATTGATATCGATTCAGGAGAAGTCAAGTGTATGAAGACCATGATCAAAGATGATTCATGGTTATGGCATCTAAGATATAAACATCTTGAATTTTCTGGTTTGAAGTTGTTATAAAAAACAAGTATGGTGAAAGGACTACCAGAGATCAACCGTCCAAATCAATTATGTAAGGCTTCCATTAAAGGAAAGCAACATAGAAAAAGCTTTGAAGTTGGTAGATCCTGGCGTACCCGAAGACTGCTGGAGATAGTACACACAGATATAGCCGGTCCATTTGATATACCATCTCTTGGCGGTAATAGGTACTACCTAACTTTTATTGATGATTTTAGTAGGAAGTGTTGGATTTATATCTTGAAAGAAAAGTCAAAAGCGTTAGAAAAATTGAAAGAATTTAAAGCAATAGCGGAAAAATAAAATGGTCAATATTTAAAGATACTCAGATCAACTAGAAGAGGCGAATATACATCAAATTTATTTGAAGAATTGTGTAAAGAGCATAGCATCATCCATCAGCTGACAGTTAGATACACGCCACAACAAAATGGAGTTGCATAAAGAAAAAACTGCAAAATCCTGGACATGTACCGAGAAATTTCTGGGCTGAAGTAGTTCGATGTGCAATTTACCTATTGAAAAGATGTCCAACAAAAAGTGTGAAGTATATGACGCCAAACGAAGCATGGAGTGGTCAGAAACCAGGAGTTGGACACCTCAAGATTTTTGGGTGCATCGTATATGCTCACGTTCTTGAACAGATTAGAAAGAAACTTGATGAAAGAGGAGAAAAAGGTATTTTCATTGGCTATGATGAAAGAAGAAAAGCTTATAGATTATATAATCCACTTACCAATAAGGTGATAATTTCAAGAGATGTCGAGTTCGATGAAGCAGAATATTAGAGATGGAGCAAAGAAGAAAATAGAGTTGAAGGACTATATTTTAATGAAGATAAAGATAGAGATGACGATCTTATCAATCAAGATGAACAAGCTGATGATCAAAGTCCTTAAACAAATGTACCATCGTCATCAAGCAGCAGCAGTAATACTAGCAACATAATAGAAAATTCTGAAGCACCTCCCACAGAAGTTCGAAGATCCACAAGAGAGAGAAGAAAACCAGAAAGGTACAATGATTATGAATTAAATAATGTTTCACTATTCAGTCTCTTTGTAAAGAGTGATCTCATAACAAATGAAGAATCGATTGGAGAAGACAAGTGGAGAAAAACTTGGAATGGAAAATTAATTTGAGGGGGAGTGTTAGATATAAAACTTGATTTCTAAAACTTGAAAAGTCAAAATAGGTGGCATTCACAAAGAAAAAGGGAAATAAAATATGAAAGTTAGTAAAACATGGACGCAAACACTTGGAAATGTGGAAAAACATGGCAATCAACTATGGATGGGAAACTTCATGAATTACATAGAAATTAAGCTAATAATATTATGATATGAGTGGGCAGCAACAAAACTTGGGCAGCAGCAAAACTTGGGCAGTAACTCAAGTTGAGTTGGCAAGCTTGGCAATTAAGGAATTTACACAGCAAACATGAAAAGAAAACCAAATTACAGAAATAAATTCAAGGCGGTAGAATGAAAGCAATATGGAAGCTTCTTAAGGTGGTTAATTTCATCTATATATATGTTAGTAGTCTATTATGAGATATATGAATGAGATGAAAAATAAATACGAGTGAAAGCTTAGAAAAGCTAGAGAAAATTTGAGAGAGCTTAGTAAAGTTTAGAATAACGAGGTTGTGTTTGTAAACTAGCCGCAGCTAGTGTTATAGTGTTGTAGTGTTGTAGTATTGTGGTAACGTCGTTGTAACATATTTTTCCTCGTATCAATAATAGTTCGAGTTATAAAAATTATTGAGTGTTCATCTACGCTTCCAACAAGATTTACGTTGAATATTGGCTCCATAAAAGGGTGAACATTTGTACAATAGTGAAAACCACTTGCAGATACTAAGAATCTGCTAGCATCAATAAACAAATGGTGACACACTTTCAAGCGTGCACCTCCAAATATGAATGACAAAACAACAGAGAATGCAAACTTTGGGTAGAACTTACAGCTTCCATAAGTATTTGAAGATCTGCATCAGGAATAGCATGACTAAGCTTATGAAACCTAGCTATTACCTGTCAATTGGACGTGTCTATCACTTGGAATCCCTCTTTTATGCCTGCAACTTCCTCAACTGAGATATGCTTAGCTATTACCTATCGATTTCCCAAAAAGAAAAAGGTTAATAAGAAAAGGCTTGAAGCTTTATTTAGGTTCCATTGGCCAAAAAAAAAAGAAAGAAACATTACCCGGAGAGATATTTTCTTTAGCTTGTTCATTATGAAGAACAGCTTGAGCCTTGCCTTCCCAGTTTCTCCCAAGGAAACAACTGGAGCCTTCTTTGCATTTTGCAACTAAGGATGATTTAAATAGCAATGGAACTTGATGCACATTTCATTTATATTATTGTTCACTTCCCTCTTACATTTTTATTTCAACTTTTTTCCTGTCCTTCTTTCTTTATATGCAGAAAATGAATAAGGAGTTGCACAAGCTATTATTCCGCTCGATTACAAATTTTAAGAGGCTTCCTTGGCCTAAAGTTTCTAAGCATGCAAAAGACCTTGCGAGGAAGATGCTCAACCCTGACCCTAAGCAAAATTTCTAAGCAAAGTTGTGTTTCCAATAAATTTAGATCATCATTGGTTGCAAAATACAAAGAAGGCTCCAAATGTTTGTGGCATACATAAATTTATCGAGTTTGAGATATGTAACAACAAAAATGCATTAATAATAACTTAAGATCATAATTAAAGGCACAATGAAACGAGTTTTTCTTTAATAGCATTTGTGAAAAGAAATAATGTTATTTGCAATACATTCTATTATGATTCAAAAAAAATCTAAATAATGGTAAACTCACCAATGGTCGAATGACTGCTCATGTTAGACATGTTTTAAGGCTATATTGTACAACTCAGATCAAAGCTATCCCTTGGGACCTTCACACAAGTCCATAACCAAATGGACCGCATAGTCATCCTCATAAGTAGCCTTCAAGGTAACAATATTTGGGTGCTGAGGCAAATGCAAAGAAATCAAGAGACTTGCAATAATCTATAGAAAATGGATTTTGCTTATTTTTTCCTTTCTTCTCTTTCTTCTCATAAGAAACTGTTCATGGAATCTCAGAATAATTTCTCATGAATAACCAAAAGTTTTTTTTTTTTTTTGCACAAATGGGTGTTTGTAATTTAAACCCAAGATGGTAAAAACAATAAAAATCTAATCTCTTTTGTGCAAAAAGAAAGAAAGACTTTGTTTTTAAAGATCCAAGCTTTGAGATATAGTAAGCTTCTATTTTTATTGAGAAAGAAAGAAATGTTTCTTGACGAACCAAATGGAGAAACAAAGAAATAAAAGTAAATAAAAAATTGGTAGGGATTGGACTTATATTGAAAATTAAGCAATGAATTGAAGAAATAGGGAGTAAAAAATATAAAGAGAAAGAACAATTTTCTTTTAAAGATATAATCAAAAGCTTGTTAAAATTATTCTATCTTTCTATAAATGAAATAAAAGCACTTTTAAATAATAGATTTGAAAATCCAATAAAAGCACTTAATAGAGGTATTCAATCCAATTTACGCACAACATGAGTTATTGGTTTTAAAGTTAAACCAAATCACTTTATTTTCATAATTGATCCTTTAATAAAAGAGTGTGTTTAAGAATTCAAATCAAGAATTCTGATATTAAAGATTTAAATGAAAATCTAGAAATTATTGGACTTACTTCTATAAGCGAATATACTAATACAACTGAAGTGGAAACAAATGAAACCGATAATAAAATTATTGAGCTTTGTGAACCAAATAAATTCACTTCAGAAATCCAGCCGAAATTATTACATTTGAAAGATTTATCATTACCAAGAGATTGGATATTAGAAAATTCAAGTACTCCTAAACCTCTAAACACAATAGAATATGTTGTGTCGGGAGATAAATTATATTTTAAAAATATAGCAGCGGTAAAAACCCAAAACATGGTTTTACCGTCTTTTTAATTAAATAGATGGTGATGAAGAAGAAAATACAAATACCCCAATAGGAATGAAAACAGTCGGGAGATAAACGTGGTTGTTAGGTTTTCAGGACACTCTAGGTACGTTTTCAATATACAAATACTTTACATCTTTATGTATTTCACTTCTAATATATGCCTTATTCTTTTAAGGTCGCATTAATCACGGGAACATTCTTTTTACGAACAAGAATACATCCGAGAGACGAAATTAATGGCAACCTCTATATCTTCCGCTATGATGTTTAATGGATTTTCTGAGCTACCCCTTATGATAATTCGATTCCCTCTATTTTACAAGCATCGAGATAATCTGTTTCACCCTCCGTGGATATGGTCAGTCGTCAGTTTTTATTTTACGTGTACCTTACTCTGTTGTTGAAGCTTTAGTATGGTCTTGTGTTGTATACTACACAATTGGTTTTGCCCCTTCTCCTGGGAGGTATGTCTTATTTCACTCTCTTGGATTATGTTTTTCACTAATACCGATTCGTTCTTATTACTTGTTGTTTCTTCGATTCAGATTTTTTCGCTTCATGTTTGTAAAATTTGTAGTACACCAAATGGCAATTGGTCTATTCCGAATGCTTGCTGCTATTGCTCGAGATATAGTCATTGCAAATACCTTCGGGTCAGCTGCAATTTTAATTGTACTTTTATTGGGTGGATTTCTTGTACCTAAAGGTATGTTATTTAGGAAAGGGAGATAAAATATTGTTGATTCTCCAAGTATATATTGTTCTTCTTCTTCTTTTTCTTTCAGACGAAATTAAGTCATGGTGGACTTGGGCTTCTTGGCTGTCACCATTGCAGTATGCACAAAGAGCAGTTTTTGTTAATGAATTCACAGCTAGAAGGTGGAAAAAGGTGCACTAATCAGCATGCTTTGCATCCATTTTTTATTTTATTGATAATTGTTTAATACGTTAAACATGTAAGAGTTGAGACATGTTTCAGATATCTATTACCGGAAACGGTACAGTTGGAGACAATGTCCTTCATGCACATGGTATAACTACAGATGAATATTTGTATTGGCTTGGAGTTGGTGTGTTAGTATTTTATGCAGTGCTTTTCAACGTCGTCTCACGTTGGCTCTGATCTATCTGAATCGTGAGTTATATATCCTTTTACTTATGGTTTAGTGTCTGAAGATTCTCTCATATCCTTCTTCTTCTCTTCGCGACAGCTTTAAATAAAGCCCGACGGTTGTACCTGACGATAAAGAACAAGGTTCTGCTACAAACAATGGTTAGTAATCTTTGGTACATGTAACATCATCATATTTCAGACTCATAAAGGCTCATGTGCCTCTTTTAAAAGATTCTGCAAATTCCTTCATAAATTTCAAAACATCTTGACAGTTGAAAATGAAAAGTCAAAATCGGAAGCTCCATCTGCTGAAGGCAGCTGGAAGAAGAGAATGATTCTTCCATTTCAACCATTAGCAATGACTTTTCAAAATGTTAATTACTTTGTTGATATGCCTAAGGTATGATTGTTGTATATATTTCTTTTATTGATGTGAAACATCATATTTCAATACCCTTGTTTTCGTTTGATTGAATATATCAGGAAATGAAAGCACAAGAATACCTGAAACGAGATTGCAGCTCCTATCGAATGTTAGCGGAGTATTCAGACCGGGAGTTCTTACGGCCTTAGTCGGGTTGATTGTAGCAGGAAAGACTACTTTGTTGGATGTGCTTTCCGCAAGGAAAACCGGTGGATACATTGAAGGGGATATTAAGATATTAGGGTACCCAAAGGAACATAAAACATTTGCTAGAATTTCAGGATATGTTAAGCAAAATGATATACATTCTCCTCAACTGACGGTTGAGAAGTCTTTCTGGTTTTCCTCCAGTTACCCTAACATATTAGGAATTTTAAGTTATTTCGAGTTAATAATAATAAAAACTTATTTAATTAATACAAATTAAATATACATTAAAGATTTATAATCTGAATTAAAATCTTTAATGTTTATTTAAAATTTTATTTAATTATTCCGAAATAAATATCAATTAAAAGAGTTTTAATCAAAATTACATTCTTTTAATGTTTACTTACTATATTCGGGAGATTAAAATCATATGTATATTGAATATACATATATTAACTCTAGATATATTTTAGTAACATACAACAAATTGTACATCTTTGTTCATTTCAATCCTAAGGTGTGACCCTGTAGGTTCTTGTAACATTAGTAGTAATTATTAGAACAATTCTAATATTACATACAATGAGTGACATCTAGCAATATATCATTGTCACCTAAGTTACAAGAAATTATGATTCGACGTATCATATTCGTGATTAATTCTTTTATGTATTACATTCTTTTGTCCTTTATATCTAGAATAGGCACAAGTCTTGGAATAGTCACACTTGTATAACCCATCTATTGTTTCTTGATATCTAGAGTAAACTTTAATTAAGGAATATTTTGTGATATCTCATATCAACTTATTTGAGCATGGTCATGTGTTTCTAGTCTCACTCAATCAAGTGACGGAGCTTGTTTAGCTGCATCAAAACATACAACAATATATGTTGGGATAGTATTGATCTCAAGTCTGAGGATCATACATATAGTCATCACCATGAGCAATGTTATAACTGTCACATAATAATCCAAGACATATGCTCATGGTGGGTCAATCCAATACATTGTTCTCTAACAATATAATCATGTATCAATTCTGACATCTCTATATCAATAACAACTCGTTGTCATCAATCAATAACATGTTAGTCTTAAGTGTATTATTATTGTCCATGCCCATAATAATATTCGACTAGCGATCTTTTAATAATAACAATTATGTTATTATATGGACTTTATTATCTTCCTGATAAGTGCTTATTTTAATTAATATTTTACTTTTAAATTACTCTTTAATCATTGATTTTTTGGATTATTTGCTCATTTTAATTCATTTTCTGTACAGGACATATGATTCTGGAAATTGCACAAAAAGGACACAATTCTACAAATTTTTTTATTTTCGGAATCAAAGCTGGCTGGAATTCGGATTTGAATCAAACTCAAGTTTAGGATAATATTTTAAACATTATATTTTTATTTTTATTTTAGTTTAAATAGGTTTTTAATATTTTAATTAAGTTTTAGGATATTATTTTTATATTTCATCTTTGTTTTAGGTATTTTAGTTTAAATAGGTTTTAGTTTTTTAATTAGGATTTAGAATATTATATTATTTTTTTAAGTATTTTAGTTTTAAGTGTTTTAATTAAGATTTAAGATGCTTAGCTTGTTTTTAGGAATTTGAATGCTACAAATACCCTCTAAGGGTAAGCCTAGAAACATATATCTCTTATTTGAGAATAAAATATTCTTTTTCTCTCTAGTTTTCTCTCTATTTTTCGCATACTTTTATATTATGTTAAGTATGACTTTGGTCATGCTTAGCTAATTCTTTTTCAAGTCGAAGGCTAAAGCGAAGGCTCAATTCCAAACGTGATAATTGTAAGATACTTAAATCGCTTCAGAATTTCTCTCTGTTTCCTGAGCTTACTTTTCAAATCAAAACGATTTTGACATTGGTCTGGATATTGTTATGGTTAACGTTTAAAGAAGGATTTGCTTATTGAAGCATATTCAACTTCCCGAGAACACACTTAGCAAAATTTTTTGCTAAGAGGAAACTGAGATCGGAATCAATTGTTATTGAAACAACACAATTCGAGTTGGCAGCGAAGAATTGTTCTTGTAAGCTGACGTGAATCTTGAAGTAAAAATCTGTTTCGATGATCCAATGAATCTAAGACAAAGTTGAAGTCTGAGGATGCTTTTACAATAAGTTTCCCTTTATCTCAATCTCTTTAATTTGTTTATTTAATTATTTTTCTTTTATTTAATTCTTATTTTTTATTTTTAAAACAACTTTTAAAAATCTCCCTTTTATATTTATTACTATTAATATTTATTATTATATTATTTTTCCTTTTTTATTATTTATTTTATTTTAATATATCTTTTCAACTTCCTCTGGAATTCTATCTTCTTCTAAAATCAAGAAAGAGTTTTATTAAATCAGAAACACCACAATCCTAGTGGATCGACCCTACTTCTCTATACTAGCTTTTCCTTTTTACTTATTAAGAAGCTAGGAATTATTTTGATAGCAAAACGACGGTTATCAAATTAGCGCCGTTGTCGGGGACTAACGGCAAGTACTTATTTTTCTAGTTTTTTTTTATTTTGACCATAAGAAACCCAGGTGAATTAGTAGATCTATATCCAGAGATCGAAGAACGAGAATGAAGAATCCACGCACAAACGCTTCGAGAAAAGAGAAAAAGACAAGAAGAACAAGAGCTGAAATCATAAACAGAATCAAATCCGGACTTTGAAGTAGACACATACAACATTCCGATGGCAGAAGAAGAACAAACGATTCAAGAACTAGTCATAGCACCTGCCACTCATACGCCATTAGACATTAATTTTCCTAGTGGAGGGACTACATTTCAATTAAAGACGGGACTCATTCATCTTTTTCCCACCTTCCACGGCTTTCCCACTGAAGATCCGCACAAACACTTGTTGGAATTCAACACGGTTTGCACTAGCATGAAACCATAGGGAGTTGCTAATGATCAAATTAAATTGAGAGATTTCCCTTTCTCTTTAGCCGACTAGGCTAAAGATTGGTTATTTTATTTACCTCCAAATTCAGTTAATTCATGGGATGACATAATCGAATTTTTCTTGACAGGTTCTTTCCAGCGGCTAAAGCAAGCGAGTTGCGAAGGAGCATTCTTTCCATTCAACAAAAGAACGAAGAAAGTGTTTATGACTATTGGGAGCGATTTAAAAAGCTTTGTGCATGTTGTCCGCGACACGGATTAAGTGAGCAAATGTTACTTCAATCCTTTTATGAAGGCCTTTTACCAATGGAGATGAAAATGGTGGATTCTGCCAGTGGAGGAGCATTAGTCAACATGATCCCAACAATAGCAAGGGAATTGATTTCAACTATGGCAGCCAACTCTCAACAGTTTTCAAGTGAACCTAGTAGACGGGTTCACGAGATAAGTATATTTTCCCTTGAAAATAAGTTAGATAAATTAACTGAAGTATTTAATTAACCTGTTGCAGGAAAATCTGGAGCAACAAGAACATGTGGGATATGAACAAAGCTAGACCACCCAAACTTCAGCTATACGGCAAATCAAATACCAACTCATCCTCCTCAACAGCAAATGCAAAAACCATCATTGGAGGAATTCATAGGGAAGTTAGCAATTTCACAAGAAAAGTTCATTGCATCCCAGGAAAAATCCCAAAGCCAAACCGAAGCACATCTTCAAGAGTTAGATAAATGGGAAAATTGGAATCACAAGGAAGACTACCTACTCAAACGGAGTTAAATCCGAGAAAAAATGTTAGTGCCATCACACTCCGAAATGGAAAAGTTATCTCACCCGAAGTTCCACCAGAAAAAGTCGCACATTAGGAAGAACAAGAGGACACACTACCTTCAGAAATACAAGGTACATATGACTCACATCCTTCTCTTTCTTCTCATGAAATCACGCCACCATCCTTCCCATCAAGGTTGATGAAGTGTTATAAAAGGGCTAAAGAAAATGAGATCTTAGAGGTGTTCCAAAAAGTTCAAGGCAACATACCTTTCCTTGAAGTAATTCAACAAGTACCAAGGTATGCTCGATTCTTAAAAGAACTTTTCACTACAAACAGGAAATTAATGGGGCACGAAAAGGTAAATTTCGGAGAACATGACTCTGCAATTTTCCAACGAAAGCTCCCACAAAAGATGAAGGATCAAGGTATGTTCGATATACCTTGTAAAATAGGTGATTTTAAAATTAAACGTGCAATGTGTGACTTAGGAGCTTCAATTAATGTTATGCCATTTTCTATATATAAAATGATTACTAATGAGCCTTTGAAGGAAACAGGAATAAACCATACAGTTGGCTGATCGGTCTGTGATATATCCAGTGGGAGTAATGGAAAACATCTTCGTAAAGGTCGATGCATTATTCTTTCCTGCATATTTCTATTTCATTGACATGGAATATGATAGGTATTCTTATTCCGATGTACTCTTAGGCCGACCCTTCCTAAGCACAACACATACAAAGATCGATGTTAGAAGTGCTATACTAACAATGGAATTTAATGGTGAGATCGTTGAATTTGATGTTTACAAAGCAATGAAATGCCCTGATCATGTTGAAATAATTAATTTTGTTGATGTTATAGATCCTTTAATTGATGAATATATTGAATCTAATTTTTCTTATGATCTTTTTAAGGATCCTGAACTTTGCCACGAAGAGGAAGAAAGGGAGTTTGAAAATATTAATTCAACCAGTTCTGATTTATCTTTATCTTCCTCTAAAACTAAAACTTTACCTTCTATTTGGAAGGCACCTGAGATAGAATTGAACCAATTACTGGAGCATTTGAAATATGTATTTTTGGGCGAAAATGAAACTTTGCAAGTGATCATCTCAAGTAAATTATCCGAAGGAGAAGAGGAAGTTTTGGTAGCAGTATTGCACTCTCACAAAGAAGCCATAGGATGGACCATTGCCGACATTAAAGGATTAAGTCCCTCGACTTGCATGCACAAGGTCAAAGTCGAAGAAGGAGCAAAGTCATCACGTGAAGGACAACGCCGATTAAATCCACCGATGATAGAAGTAGTAAAGAAAGAAATTTAGGAACTCCTTGATGCTGACATATTCTATCCAATTTCGGATAGTAATTGGGTAAGTCTGATTTATGTGGTTACCAAGAAAATAGGAGTCATAGTGGTCGAAAATCAAGAAGAGTTAGTGCCAACAAGAGTTTAGAATGGATGGCGAGTTTGTATTGATTGCATGAAGTTGAACTCTCTTACTCAAAATATCATTTTCCTCTTCCTTTTATAGATCAAATGATTGAAAGATTATCTGGGAAAACTCATTATTGTTTTCTTGATGGTTTTTCAGGTTTTTTTCCAAATCCCAGTGGCACCAGAGGATAAAGAAAAAATGACTTTTACTTCTCCCTTCGGTACATTTGCATATAGACGAATGCCCTTTGGTCTTCGTAACGCACCAGCCACCTTCCAAAGATACATGTTAAGTATATTTTCTGACTATGTGGAGAAGGGCATCGAAGTATTTATGGATGACTTCACGGTTTATGGTAACTCTTTTAATGAATGCCTTGATAATTTAACTAATGTGCTTAAAAGATTCTAAGAATATAACCTTGTTTTGAACTACAAAAAATGTCATTTTATGGTTGATAAAGGGTTAATTGCAGGTCATATTGTTTCCTTAAAAGGGATTACGGTTGATAAAGCTAAAATAGATGTCATACGCTCACTTCCTTACCCCACAACTGTGAGGGAAATTTATTCTTTTCTTGGCCATGCAAGATTTTACGGCGGGTTTATTAAAGACTTTTCGAAGATAGCACAACATTTATGCAATCTTCTTCAAAAGGATCAAGACTTTGACTATAATTCAAAATGCAAGGAGTCTTTCGATTCATTAAAAGAAAAGCTTATTTCAGCTCCAATTGTCCAGTCGTCAGATTGGAGTCATCCCTTTGAACTTATGTGTGACGCATCAGATACTAGCGTTGGAGCCGTTTTAAGCCAAAAACTAGGGAAAGAGCCACATGTCATAGCCTACGCATCTCGAACTTTGAACTCGGCTCAGAAAAATTATTCGACTACGGAAAAAAACTTTTTGTTATAATTTTTGCTTTAGAAAAATTCAAATCCTATTTGCTTGGTACTAAAATTATTGTCTTTTCTAATCATGCAGCTATAAGGTATTTGATGAGAAAAATGGAGGCAAAGCCGAGGCTTATCCGGTGGATCCTGCTTTTACAGGAATTTAACTTGGAAATCAAAGGCAAAAAGGGATGCGAAAATCTGGTAGCATATCACTTGAGTCGAATTCCCCTTTCCACATTGGACCACCACTTAGAGAAGAATTTCCTGAAGAAAAACTGATGGTGGCGCAAAGCATAACTCCATGGTTTGCAGACATGGTTAATTATTTGGCCACATGTAAGTTACCATTCGATTTGCCGAGAGCTAAAATCAATCGAATTAAGCAAGAATCCCGATACTATATTTGGGACAATCCTTATTTATGGAAGCACTGCTCGGATCAGGTAATTTGAAGATGTATTACCGAAAGTGAGGTAAACTCAATTTTACAAATTTGTCATTCTTACTCTTGCAGAGGTCATTTTGGGCCCAAACATATAGCTCATAAAATTATTGAATGCGGTTTCTATTGGCCTAACATCTTTCGGGATTCATATTTATTTTGTAAAACTTGTGAAAGATGTCAACGTACAAGTAACTTAAGCTGTAGGAATGAAATGCCACTTAATTTTATACAAGTTTGTGAAATATTTTATGTTTGGGGAATTGATTATATGGGTCCTTTTACTTCGTCATTTGGAAATACTTATATTATTTTAGCTGTGGATTATGTTTCTAAATGGGTTGAAGCTAAAACCACTCGGAATAATGATGCTAAAACTACAGTTAATTTTTTGAAAAATATTTTTTCCAGGTTTGGCACTCCACGGGCTATAATAAGCGACAGAGAAACACATTTCATCAACCGAGTAATTGAGTCGCTAATGAAGAAATTTGGAGTAACTCAAGTAATTGCTACCGCTTACCATCCACAAACAAATGGACAGACAGAAGTATCAAATCGAGAAATTAAAACAATTCTTGAGAAAATTGTTAAACCGAACCAAAAGGATTGAAGTTTAAAATTAACGATGCACTTTGGGCATATCGAACTGCTTATAAAGGTCTCATTGAGATGTCACCATACCAGTTTGTTTTCGGTAAACCATGCCATCTACCGGTCGAGTTAGAACATCGGGCTTATTGGGCCGTTAAACAATGTAACATGGACGCAATTGGTGAAGCTCGGAAATTACACATTCAAGAACTTGAGGAAATCCAAAGAAATGCCTATGATAATGCTCGGATATTTAAAGAAAAAACAAAAGAATTTCACGATAGTAGAATTTCTTTTAAACTTTTTCTGTCGGTCAAAAGGTTTTATTATTTAACTCCAAATTTAAACTTTTTGCAAGAAAACTCAAATCAAAATGGCTTGGACCGTCTATAGTTACTCAAGTATTTCCTCACGATGATGTTGAAATTGAAGATAACTCAGGAGTACAATTTAAAGTTAATGGTAAAAGATTGAAGTCATATTATGAAAATGCTCCAGTTGGTCTAATCGAAGAAATCAATTTAGAGGAACCCACGCTTTGAAAAATCAGGTCGTCGAGCTAACGACGTTAAACAAAAGCGCTTGATGGGAGGTAACCCATTTCGTTTTATTTTCATTTTATTTATTTTATTTTATTTTATCAGATGCTTAATTTTATTTTATTTTTCTCTGAACATATTCGAATTCCGATATGACCATGACCATGGCCGCACTCGCCACTAGATTGGGGAGTATTCCTTTTCCATCTCTTTGATTTTAAATTTGATAAACGTTTTGAGACAAAACGAAATAAGTGAGGGGGAGGATAAGCATGTGTCAAATTTTTATTTGACTTGTTTAATTGTTTGAAATTGAGTTATTCTGATGTTGATATGTTGGGATAGTTGGTTGCTAGTCTTGAATTTCTCTTTATACTCTTGCTTTCTTTTGGATTATGACCATGTTTTTGATCGAATTTAATTTGCATGATTAGTGATTGATATAGCTGGTGAATTTTTGTTGAGTATTGATGTTTCTTGCTTTTGTCGATAGAGATGAACTTGACTCAATTCATATAAACTTTTATTGTGAGATTTAAGCCTAACGAGCATACATTTTCTTTCTTGCTCATTATTTGACTTGTGTGTGCCGAACTAATTAGGATATTCTAGAACTTATAATCACAATGCATATCGAGACTACATGTTAAACGTAATGTTTTAATGTGATAGGGGAACCTAGGATAAACCCACTTTTCCCAAAAAGCCTACCCGTTTATATATCGACTAGTGAACCACGTTTGAGCCTATTTCCCTTTCTTTGTTTTATACCTCATAATTAAACCCGAAGCCTTTCTTTTTTTTCCTCTCTTTTCACACCCTTACCGAGACTTGAGATCTTGTATCATTGTTGTTCCACAAAAAAAAAGTTGTTCACTATTTCGAACAGAAAAAAGGAAAAAAATACCCTTTGTTCGAAAAAAAGGGAAGGAAAAATCGATCGATTCAATTGTCTTTTATCTATTCTTTTTCCTCATTTTGTTCTTCATTGTGCTTCATGTTAATTTGTGGATTGTTATTAATTATTTTGATCTCTTGTTTCGGTATTTTAAACCTTTCTTTTCGGCCTTTTCCCTACCCTAACCTAAGCTCGACTACACCTTGTTTAAAGACCCCTTGATTATTGCATTATGTTCATTTTTCGTAGTGGATATTTGATTGGATTCCAAGCCTATGGTAATATTTTGGTTAGTTTCAGCTGGAGCGATTTCATTTACCCCAAACACTTTGAGCGGATATGTGTGAATCTTTGTTAGGTATTGAGTCATGTTTCATTGAAGTTGGCAATTAATTGTGATATCTTGCTTACTTTAAATTTTCTTGGTTGTATCTTTGCTTGACTGTAACTTGAATTTGACAAATATCATGGACTTAGTTCGATTGAAAGTTTGAGGAATAAATTGAAATTGAAGATGACAACTTATGATTTTGATATGTTAATTGAGGAATGCTTGAGGAGAAGCATTGAATAAGTGAGGGGGAATTTGATAAGTGCTTATTTTAATTAATATTTTACTTTTAAATTACTTTTTAATCTTTGATTTTTTTGGCTTATTTGTTCATTTTAATTCATTTTCTGTACAGAACATAAGATTTTGGAAATTGCACAAAAAGGACACAATTCTGCAGATTTTTTTATTTTCGGAATCAAAGCTGGTTGGAATTCAGATTTGAATCAAACTCAAGTTTAGGACAATATTTTAAACATTATATTTTTATTTTTATTTTAGTTTAAATAGGTTTTTAGTATTTTAATTAAGTTTTAGGATATTATTTTTATATTTTATCTTTGTTTTAGGTATTTTAGTTTAAATAGGTTTTAGTATTTTAATTAGGATCTAGAATATTATATTATTTTTTAGGTATCTTAGTTTAAATAGTTTTAAGTGTTTTAAATAGGATTTAAGATGTTTAGCTTGTTTTTAGGAATTTGAAGGCTATAAATACACTCTAAGGGTGAGCCTAGAAATATATCTCTCTCATTTGAGAATAAAATCTTCTTTTTCTCTCTAGCTTTCTCTCTATTTTTCGAATACTTTTCTATTATGCTAAGTATGACCAAAGTCATACTTAGCTAATTATTTTTCAAGTCGAAGGCTAAAGTGAAGGCTCAATTCCAAATATGAGAATTGTAAGGTACTTAAATCGCTTTGGATTTTCTCTCTGTTTTCTGAGCTTACTTTTCAGATCAAAACGATTTTGACATTGTTCCGGATATTGTTATGGTTAACGTTTGAAGAAAGATTTGCTTATTGAAGCATATTCAACTTCTCGAGAACACACTTAGCAAAATTATTTGTTAAGAGAAAACTGAGATCGGAATCAGTTGTTATTGAAACAACACAATCCGAGTTGGTAGCGAAGAATTGTTCTTGTAAGCTGACGTGAATCTTGAAGTAAAAATCTGTTTCGATGATCCGAGAAATCTAAGACAAAGCTAAAGTCTGATGCTGCTTTCACAATAAGTTTCCCTTTATCTCAATCTCTTTAATTTGTTTATTTAATTATTTTTCTTTTATTTAATTATTATTTTTTATTTTAAAACAACTTTTAAAAATCCCTTTTATATTTACTACTATTAATATTTGTTATTATATTATTTTTTCTTTTTTATTATTTATTTTATTTTTATATATCTTTTCAACTTTCTCTGGAATTCTATCTTCTTCTAAAATCAAGAAAAAGTTTTAATAAATCATAAACACCATAGTCCCTGTGGATCAACTCTGCTTCTCTATACTACATTTTCCTTTTTATTTATTAAGAAACCAAGAATTATTTTGATAGCAAAACAACGGTTATCACTTACAATTTATGTTAAACGCATATATATAACTGAAAATAATAGTGACAATGCTTTTATTCAATAAAATCGATAAATAAATGTATTATTACAATCATCATATGATTGGTCTTTGGGTATACTCTAATATGTGGATAAATTGAACGGGATATTAAGATATCAGGGTGCCCAAAGGAACATAAAACATTTGCTAGAATTTCAGGATATGTTGAGCAAAATGATATACATTCTTCTCAAGTGACGGTTGAGGAGTTTTTCTGGTTTCCCTCCAGTCTTCGGCTTCCAAAAGAAATGAGCAAAGCTCAAAGATCTGTGAGCTGCATAACCCTTTAACTTATGTTGAGGTTCCATCTTTTGAGTGTTCCATCTTTTGAAACAGGGTCTTGTTGAGCTTCCATACATTTTTGCTCAAACAATTTTGTTTGGGATCATCACATATTTCATTGTTGGAGTTTGAACAATATAATATCAGAGGAGGAGAAAGGGCAAGTACGGAGACTATTAATGTGACGAAGCTTGATCAAGCTAGAAGAAAACTGGTTGTAAAGAAAGGCTTGGCTACAAACGACCAAGATAATTATAAGCTTCTTTTTCGCGATTAGAAATCTCCTTGATAGGAGGTAGAATGTATGAAGAAGAAAAGGAATAGATAAGAAATTAATCGAAATATTCAAAGCACTGAAATTAACTACTTCGAACCTGTTTGTTCTTTGTTGGAGCGTACATTTGTGGCAGCCTTTTTCTTGCAAATGTTAAGAGTAAGTCCCCAGGGCGCTGATGGATGCC